CAATCTGCAGGAAGTGCTCGTTTTTCACTGCTGCCCCAAAGCTCAGCACAGAGCCTGAGCTCAGGAGCAGCCATATGGGGCCAGGATGGCTTGCTGCCACCCCCTCCTACTTGGTCCCAGCGAGGGGGTAGATACCTGGCTAGGTCTCCTGTGTGGCAGGAGGAAGGGAAGGAACCATCTCTGGACAGAGGGTCCTGGGGAGGCAGATAAGGTCACAGAGGCCACTGGGGTGTGCTGAATCACAGAGCAATCTCCCCTTAGGCACAAAGGTTAAATGTGGGCCTGTGTGTGGGATGCTAGAAAGGCTGCATCTCCAGATTTCCAGTCCCTGGTGTCGACATCCAAGAGCAGGCCCTGACTTGGGGTTACTTCCAGCTTCCCACCTCAAGACTGCTGAGGGCCAGCCAAATAGCTCAGTGGATTAAAGCACCTGCAAGAAGGCGCAGGGGCCACAGGTTCGATCCCCAGGTCTGCCGCGCCACTTAGCTGGCTGGTGGCAGAACCAGAGCTGGGGCCTCTGCATCGCTAGAATTCACCCCGCAGCCAAGGAGATGCCCACCACACGGAAGTACCCCGCCACACTCCCACTCCGCATTTGAGTTTCTTAGTTACTGCAAGCTCAGAGAGAGCTCAGTCCGCCACATACCTGCTCTACTCATTCTGCTATGCGATTAGCACCTGTAGGCATGAGTCCTCGGGGTCTAGACACTGGGAGAACACCTGTTTGCAGAAACTGCCTGCCGCCTGCCACCTGCCCCTGCTTCAAGGCACTCTGGCCCAGTGCTGCTGCTGTGGGCTTGTCACTGTCTCTGATCACACACCCTTCCTACACACGGGTGCTCATGCAAGAGCATCAGGACTTGGAGGGACACAGGCCTGACTGGGGACCTGCAGGCACAACCTCAGAATTGACCTTTGTCCCATGTGTGTCCTGGAATTTCTACAACAGGTACATTTTGTTTTGCTTGTGCTTTGGTACAGAATAACTTGATCTTAAAAATCAGACAAAAACATAAGACAAAATACCCAGAAAAGCTCTGCAAATGAACGGCACTGGGGAACGGGCAACCAGAGGACCAGATCTTCAACCTAACAGTGTCAGCCAGCAGAATGGAGGAGGAATGAAGGAACAGGACCACATGGGATACAGTGAGGTCTCCCCGTCCACCCTGTGGGCATCAGTAAAGGACAACTACAAAGTATTCATGGGGAGGGCTGGATCCGTACTTTGACCTTGAAACCAAGAGAAATTCAAAGTGGGATCAAAACATCACACAGTATCCTATTAATATATAAATGTTATATATCTGCTAAGATTTCTTTAAAAATCAAAAATTCTAAATTCATCTAAGATTTAAATGTGAGAAAATGAAACTACAGATATCTAGAGGTAAACTATTCTGTAATACTGGAAGTTCTTGCTACAGTAACCAAACTGCAGAAGCTATAAGAGACATAAATTTGACTACACAGAAGTATAAAATAAGGGCCGAGGAGATAGCTCAGTAGAATAAGCGCTTGCCTGGCAAGCACAGGGTCCTGAGTTCAATCCCTGGTACTGGGAAAAAAAAAAAGTATAAAATAATTGTGGACAAAGCCACAGAAGAAAAAGGCAAAAGATAACTGGCAAACACCACCAACAAAACATATCTAATGCTCTTATCACTAAGCTAAGCTTCAACATAGAAGAAACTCACAGAAATGACAAGACAACACAAAACAGAACAACAGGCAAAGGCAGTTCATAAATGGGGGAAAAGAAAAGGCTCCCAAACATTGGAAAACATGTTTCCCCGACCAGCACTGAGAGGAAATCAATCCCACCGAAATGCAGCTTTGAACTTAGCAGACTGGCGAGGCTGGCACTCGGTGTTTTACTGACAGGAGGATAAAAAGAAACCGTTACGAGTTCCTTGCAAGGTGACTGGTGACAACTATCACAATTACCAAGAGGGATGTCCTTTGACACTGCAATAAACTTTTGGTACCTTATTCTACAAATACACCTGCGCACCTGCAGAGTGAGGTATAAGCCTAATTATTCAACGCAGCAGAAGCTTGGAAAAACAGCTCCTAAGTACACTGGGAACACCCATGAGAGGGTACTCTATGCAAAACAAATAGGAGTTCTTCCTGAACCGATAGGGACTGCCGCTCGAGCTGCACCGCCAGGTGGAGAAAACCAGGTCCAGCTGAGTGTGCTCGGGAGGCTGCCGCAGGAGGGCTATCTGCACTACACAGTTGAGACCCCGTCTCAGGAAAAGCAAAACACAACAACAGACCCAAACCAGGTCCAGCACAGAGCACACAGCAATGACCGAAGGCACAGAGAGACATGTGCACTTACCTGTGCCTGCAGAAGACCATGGGGACATCCGGGAAAGGAGGGAAAAGGGTCACCTGGGACAGACTGCAGGGAACATAAGGAAAGCTGCAAGAACTCTCCCCAGGAAGGCACACAAACGTACTACTGCGTATTCATATATTAACTTAAAACCAAAAATGGCACAGCAAAGTAGAAAATGTTAATCGTAATTGATGCCAACCTTAAAATTAGACATTAAGACTGAGGGTGCCATGCAGCAGTAGAGCAGGGTAGCTTGCGTGAGGCACTGAGCTAGCAAGAAAGAAAGGGGGAGGGGCAAGGGGAGGGAAGGGAAAGGAAAGAACATGAATGGAAAGGAATGGAATAAAAAATAGACCCTACCAGGTCCCCACTCAGGCTTACACACAGCCTTGCATTCAGCACAATACCACCCCAAGAGCTACCCTTAAAACAATGGTCATCAGAGTGGATTTTCTTCAGACCATGGCTGGGGAAGTACTGAGAAGAACTGTATGAAAAACAGCAACCAGCAACCAAGTCCAATCTTCCGTTCTAGGAGACATAACCAGGGCAGGGTTCCAAGGCTCTGCTGCCCTTCTACCACCAGTAAACTGTTCTACTGAAGGATATTCCCTGAAAAAGGTTTAGCCAGGTGATTTAGAACAGGTCAGACTTCAAAGAGCGAGCAAATATTCTGAAAGAATTGAATAGCAACAGAACCAGGTTTATAATTATGTGTTTGAGGCCCCCTCCCTCTTCCAGAGCACCACATTCCTAACATCAACACCCCCTCATGTACGCTTCTGAAAACTAAGGCGGGGGAGCATGTGCTGGCAGCCCAGGGGCCAAGCCCATCCAGTCTCCAGTACAAAGGCCTCAAGTTCAAGACAAGAGAACCCATCTGTCTGCAGGTGCTGGTGAGAAGTCCCCAGGGGAGTGGCAGATTTCTGGGAAAGGGATCTCTCTTGAACTAAAAACAGAAAAGGAAGCGAGGAGGGAGGGCAGGAAGTGTGGGGGGTGGAGTAGGCATAGCATGGAAAAGCCTCTTGTGCCTACCTCAGGCAGGCAGGCTGTGCTGTGACATCTGGGGTGGCACCAGCCATGAGGGGGGGGGCGCACTCAGAGGAGAACTAAGCCCAACTGCTCAACACAGACAAGCCCTCTGCTAGCCTGACACTGTTCACACAACCTGCTTAAGAAGTGACACCTAAGTTAGCAAGACCAAAATTGGAGAAGAGGAAGGGCTGCAAAGTCAGCCAACATTTTGGCCCTAGCCTTTCAAGGGCAGTGAAGACTCGGGACATAGAACCTGTGCTGTAACATCATGTAACTCAGTTGTGCTCCAAATTTTCTGATCAAGGAGATTATAGAGCCACAGAGGAATGTGTTCGATGATGTGCAGTGTGCCTGGGGAAGAGTCACAAGGAGAGAAAAAACATTCTCTCAGGCTTTCACAGAGAGCAAAACTGGTCAAGCAATGGCCATGACTCATCCTCATGGCTGACACTGACAAAGGATCTACAAAGTGTGTTACAGGGCTACAGGATAAATCCTGAGGGTACTTGACTGACCTTATCAGACACAAAAGTTACATTTCTTGTTATATAGGTATTGTTTTATCTTGGTCTTAACCATCCAGCAGAGAAGGATAAAAAAGAGGTATATAAAGTAAAGCCAT